TGGAACAACCTGCCTCCAGAAGCGGTGAATGCTCCAACACTGGAAGTTTTTAAGAAGAGACTGGACAGCCATTTGTCCGAAATGGTATAGGGTTTCCTGCCTGAGCAGGGGGTTGGACTCGATGACCTCCAAGGTCCCTTCCAACATTATTATTATTATTATTATTATTATTATTATTATTATTATTATTATTATTATTATTATTATTATTATTATTATTATTATTATTATAGGACATAGAATTTACATGCTTATTCCTACACTTCAGTGGGCAGGACTAACGCAAAAAACAGCCCCAGCATTAAATGATCCAAGCATTGAAATGAGAGGGGGAAAAATGCCCCAAATTCTCAAATCCCACAAAGGTCAATAACCTTGTCTGTTCTTATGCAAAATCTAATGCAAAAAAATTCTGAACTCTCATATATAGCTGCCTAGAGCCACTTGATAGATACGAATGGCATATAAATTTAATAAATAAATATTCTTGCTACAGATATGCTATTTTTAAAAGCGTCCCTATTCAGAAGAAAATGAATTAGGAGGGCCCAGAGACACTATTTAGGGTAACTGGGGTCTCCCTGGAGCCCATAAACATATTGGTGCATGTTCTTGAACCAAATTACATCCTGGCTTTGAGCTCCATCCAAAAACGCTGTCTGGGGAATTCTGGGAGTTGAAGTCCACCCATCTTAAAGCTTGCTACGGCTGAGAAAAGCAGATTCTCTTACCCATCCCCCTTGGCTTTGGACCCAAGGGCTGAAGTTTTCCTGCAGATATTTTGTTCCAAAGCCTAGCACGAGATTCATGGGGTGGTTGTCGATCGCAGTGAGCCTGGTGGTGGCTTCCATAATCAACGCAACTTTGACGCTCTTAAGTTCGTCCTCCGAATGGACAGTGGAGTCTATGGGTATCTCCTCAAGGAACTGGTCCGTCACTCTCCTGAAGAAGGCGTAGGTCATCATGTCCCTGATGCACTGACGGAAGGTCTTATCCTTCTTCGTCTGAAAGAGGAAAGAGAAAATTAATTAATTAATTAATTAATTAATTAATTAGCTTGCTTGCTTGCTTATTTATTTGCTTATATTTGCTTATTTATTTATTTTATTTTTTATTTATTTAGCTAGACAAATTCTTCAACAAGTTGTCTAGGTCAGATGGTTTTCTTTTCTCAAATTGTGTTATATGAAGATCAGCAAGAATTCCTCAAGAAATTGGTGGAATGGATTATTAATGGATGGAAACTTATCAAGGAGAGAAGCAACCTAGACCTAAGGAGAAATTTCCCGAGAATGACAACAATTAGCCAGTGGAACGGCTTGCATCTAGAAGTTGTGGGTGGTACATCAGTGGGAGCTTTTAAAGAAGAGATTGGACAACCATTTGTCTGAAGGGCTATAGGGTTTCTTGCCTGAACAGTGGGTTGGACTAGAAGATCTCCAAGGTCCCTTCCAACTCTGTTATTCTGTGTTTTGTTCTGTATTTTGATGAGATTGCATGAGAAACTAAGGGCCAAAAACAAAAAAAAGAAGATGCCCAATCATTCAAATGGTGCCTCTTGATAACATTTGTAAATCCCTGGCCTAGATGACTTTATGACTGAAGACAATTTGAGTTTTACCATCTCAGAATCTATGATAGTACCAAATTTATATCCTATTATATTTCTGTGGGAGCTCAAAATAGGTTACTTAGGACTCTCTCCATATTTTATTCCACCCATAAGTTAGGTTTTTTTTTAATGCCCCTCTTATGATAATGGTGGCTTTTTTGACAGTTTATTCCAGTAAAATAATGTGTCCCTATTCATGGCTCTTCCAAAGACTTTAATGAGATTTACTCCCAGGTAAGGGTGTCTAGAATTATAGACTCTGTGATTTTTTTGAAATCACCTTTCCAATCTTGGTATGTGAAAATACTTCTAGGTGCTCTGAAAATGGAAAAATCACATAGTTGAACTTTAGGGGGGGAGTTGCGTGCTCAACATAGACAGGGGAACTTATAAGTAATGACTTATTTCAGAGATGGCCAATTTTTGCATTCTTGGGGGAATCTAACGAAGCCTCAAATTGCTCCATCTGGACAGATTTGAACACTGGGCGCTATCTACAGTAACAAAATGAAATTCAATGATGAAAAAAGTAAGGTTCTACATTTAGGCAAGAAAAACCAAATGTACAGGTATAGTATAGGGGGTACCTTGCTCAATAGTAGTAACTGTGAGAGGGACCTCGGAGTCCTAGTGGACAATCATTTAAATGTGAGCCAGCCGTGTGCTGCAGCTGCCAAAAAAGCCAACACAGTGCTAGGCTGCATTAACAGAGGGATAGAATCAAGATCACGTCAAGTGTTAATACCACTTTACAAGGCCTTAGTAAGGCCACACTTGGAATACTGCATCCAGTTTTGGTCACCACGATGTAAAAAAGATGTTGAGACTCTAGAAAGAGTACAGAGAAGAGCAACAAAGATGATTAGGGGACTGGAGGCTAAAACATATAAGGAACGGTTGCTGGAATTGGGTATGTCCAGTTTAATGAAGAGAAGGACGAGGGGGGACAGGATAGCAGTGTTCCAGTATCTCAGGGGCTGCCCCAAAGAAGAGGGAGTCAAGCTATTTTCCAAAGCGCCTGAAGGCCGGACAAGAAGCAACAGGTGGAAACTAATCAAGGAGAGAAGAAAACCTAGAACTAAGGAGAAACTTCCTGACAGTTAGAACAATTAACCAGTGGAACTCGTTGCCTCCAGAAGCGGTGAATGCGCCAACACTGGAAGTTTTTAAGAAAAGACTGGACAGCTATTGGTCTGAAATGGTATAGGGTTTCCTGCCTGAGCAGGGGGTTGGACTAGATGACCTCCAAGGTCCCTTCCAACTTTATCATTATTATGAATTAATTAATTTGCAAATCAAGAGCATTGGAGTCCCGGTCACCTTAGGCTACTTACCTTTTCCTCCAGTTCATCTCCTGATTTCCGTAACAAGGCAACTATCGCATCAATAACCTTTTCTTCGTTGTCTGGTGGAAAGATAAAAATAACTGGTTCATTTTCTTTTAACACAGCAAGGAAAATGACAAAGTGCTTGGACTAATGATGTTGTAAGATGCTACCAGAAATGACGGATTGCTTAGAGGCCCTCAAGTTGTTCTCAACTCCTCCTTTGACCACATACAGTAGGTTTTCTCCAGGGAAAAATGATTCCTGGATAAACTGTAGACAAGGCGCCTAAATGCCTCCAGTCTCCTCCTGCTTTCAAAACCCTTGTCTGTTCCAACTACAAGCCTCTCCCACATGGAAAACAAAGTACAGGCGGCTTATAAGTGCATTAGATTATTTTCCATCATGCTAAGGATTTTGTCCCCTGCAACCGAGGGGGAGATATTGCCCGGTTTGGTCTGCTTCTGCTGTCAAATGAAAAATCTGAAATAAGGTCAGATGTCCCCTCCAGAGAAAGAGCTCCCTGTGGGGATCCTTTCATGAGACACGCTTGCTGGTGGCACAGTGGTTAGAGGGCACCACTGCAAGGGAATTCTGCCGACTGCCGGCTGACTGCAGTTCAGCAGTTCGATTCTCACCAGGTTGACTCAGCTCTCCACCCTTCTGAGGTTGGTAAAATGAGGACCCAGATTGTTGGGGGGCAAGCCTCTGTAAACTGCTTAGAGAGGGCTGTAAAGCACTGTGAAGCGGTAGATAAGTCTAAGTGCTATTGCTATTGCTTCTCCAGGCTTGCTCAAAGAGGCTCTATGGGGTAGGTCAGTGGTGGCGAACCTATGGCAGGGGTGCCAGAGGCGGCACTCAGAGCCCTCTCTGTGGGCACGCGCGCCATTGCCTCAGTCCTAGGCCTTCAGCTAGGTTTTATAAAACCTTTTCGCTTTAGGCCTCCGTCACAGTGTGCAAAAAAGAAAAAAGATTCAATCAATCAGTCAATTTCAACTTCTTGCAGGGAAAAAAAAAGATCTTGCAAAGTTGGAATTGATTGATTGAACTTTTTAATCCCACCCAGTCTGCCGTTACCACCACAGTCACGCCCACCCAATGGGCAACACCCACCCAATTGCCCCCCCCCCAGCCAATGGGCCACACCCACCCGGCACCTGACGATGCATAAGTGGGTTTTGGGTTGCAGTTTGGGCACTCGGTCTTTAAAAGGTTCGCCATCACTGGGGTAGGTTGACTGCAGGGCCAACAGGAAGGAGAGCTTTTGGGTGGGCTGCTCAGAGGAGCAACTCCACTGCCTGCAGCAGGAAGCAGAAATGGCTGGAAGAGGCAGTGATGCTCGCAGCAGCTCTCCTTGGCCAGCATGGGGCATGAAGCAGCTGGTTCCTCTACAGTTGGCTAAGGTTCCTGTTTTGGGGGGCAGTTCTACCTCTTGCAACATCTGGATTACTAAGCAGTTCCAGGCTACGCCAGCCCTAATCTTGTCACCGTATCATCCATACCAATGTTCCTCAATCTTGGCCATGCGTGGATTTCAACTCCCAGAATTCCCCAGCCAGCATAGTTGAAGTCTACACATCTTCAAGTGGTTGAGGGACATTGATCTATACAACTGAAAACCTCAGCCACTGCCTTCTCTTCTTCCTCTTACAGATTTCCCCTTTTTTATAAGCCACCCCCCAAAGACCATGGATGTATATTCTTGCCAGCCCCTCCTTTCCAAGTCCTTTACTTGAGCTGTGTTGATTAGCTAAGCAAGGTGACCTCTCCATGCCAGTGCTGCTGAGTAACCACGGTTTGGAAAGAAGGATCTAGAAATCCCTCAATCACCAGTTGAACAGCAGCCTGGGAAATCTTTTGCCCTGTGCGTGTCCTGTGAATACGTTCAAGAGCCCTCAGTAAAATATTGTGGAGAACGGTTGAGTTGAAATGGGTGGAACTGCTATGAGGCATATAGAAAGCAAGTTAAGGCCTCATCTAGAACTTGTGTCCAAATGGAAATCTTTCTGCAGTGCCCATGCGAACAAGGGACGGCGAAGTTCCATGAACAGAAAATCAGTAGCAAGAAATGTCCCCATGAAGGAAAAACACTTCACCTAATCCATCATCCCCAGCTGGTGGGATTGGCTTGCTGGCTGAGCCACCGTCTTCTTCTAGACTCAATGCACGTTCCACTACCACGATGCTCTTCTTCCCACTAGGAAATCTGGAACGATCCACTATCTCAACAAGTCTCTCTGCCAGACGAGGGATGTCCGAGTCATCTAGGAAAGCAAAACAAGAGTGGAATAATTTTATTCAACCATCTCCCTTCAGCGAATGCTTTATTCAAGAACATACAGACAGGAGATGCCTTCGGTCGTTATGGCAGAAAAGTGAGCAGCAGCCATTTTGGAATCCAGGCTGGCTCCATCACCACAGAGTTTGGAGGGAAAGGAGAATGGCCCATGAAGGCTACAGGTAGTCCTTGACTTCTGACTTATGAGGTATCTTTCTTAAGCCCTTAAGCAAGTCATGCCCAAGGTTTATGGCCTTTTCCCCGACACTTGTTAAGCAAATCCCTGCAATTGTGAAGGGAATCAGTTATCAGATGAATCCAGTTTCTCCCCTGGACTTTGCTTGTTGGCTGCAAAGGTCAAGAATGGTGATCACATGACCCTAAGATGCTGCCACTGTGGTAAATATATGTGGGTGGCCCAAGTTTTTATCTTGTGAGTGTAGGGGGTGCTATACTAGTAGTAAGTATGAGGACCAGTCATAAGTCACTTTTTTCAGTGCCATTGCAACTTCAAATGGTTGCTAAATGAAAGCTAAGGACCACCTTCACTGGTGAGCTGGGGGATTCTGGGCATTGAAGTTCACAGGTCTTAAAGTTGCCACAGTTGGACACCCCTGGTATAAATCATAACAAACCATTCTTTCTTGGTAGCAATCCACCCGCCATTACCACCCATTGGTTCCTCTCTTTCTCCTTATCATAGAAAGTCCACACTTCGTTTGAGGAAGGTGAAGGGAAACATTATTATTTTTAAGAAAATCAGGTCCATGTTTTCCATTTAAATATAAAAACTGGAAAATCAAGCAATAAACATAATATTATTGTTCTTGCAAAGGCTATATTAAGTAGATATATAGACCTCCTATACTCATAGATGGTCAACAAATTCATTACTCTACACGGGGGGGTGTCACAAAAGGGTGTGCAAAAGTCCGTACAAAAGTACGCAATCAAAAACATCGAGAGGTGATTGAAACTCTGCCTATTTTCACAGTATATAAAAGATCGGCAAAGCTTCAAGCACACACTGCCGTTGCCATCTTGACTTTTCTGACCATGTCTTCTGGTCAACCATTATCGGAAATACGTTGTCAGAAGGCCATTTTGAAGAACTGTTATGCTACCAAAATTAATCCAGCTTACTGTATATAACTCAACGAACAAGAAACCTACTTTGCGCACCTGATAAACCCCCAATTCCGGAGACCACCCTCATGGCATGGCCGTTGACGGAGTCCTGTTTTTGGGATACTCTTTGGTTCCTGGTGTCTTTTGCTTGTGGCCTTAGGCAAGAAGGAATACAAAGGCATTTCCAACTGGTTCTTGTCTTTGTCTTCTTTGCCTTCTTCTTCTTCTTCTTCGCCTTCTTCTGGTCCTTCTGGTTTGGTGGTTTATGATCTTCTGGAGAAATTTCTGGAAAGGTGACTTCTTCTTCCTTGGTTAGAGTGTTGACTTGTACCACCTCCCTCCTGTCCTCCTGGACTCCGGGTTCTCTTTCGAGTAATTGCCCATATTTGCTTGCAGACAGTCGCCGCTGTGCATAGACCATCAGCAGTCTGAATTCCACGCTGGTTCTGTCTGTGTCCTCCAGAGGGATTTCTTCCATGTTGTCCAGGCCGTTCTTGTATTCGCTGTTCATCCTGCAGCTTCTATCAGGTCCTTCCATTCTATAACAAAAGAAGAAAACCCAAGTTGCTTTAAGGTTTTTACACTCTTCCTTCTTTTCCACCATTTTAATTCTCAGCTGAGGAATATCATGAACATTTTGAGAGGTCAAGGTGGTAGCTGGACAAAACTCTGTTTTACACCCAACGCCCAAGTCCAAGGAGGGTCAAAACCCGCTGAGATAGCACCACCAAATGGTAGGACATCAAAAAAAAGAGGTGAGGCTTTAATCACATAATTGCAAACACCACAATCTTGTCCTTTTTGACCCCTTCCCTTGGACTCCCCAGACCCCTCCCCTTTTTAAGGAGAACCATCTCAGAAACGGCTCAGAAATGCAACCTTTACTGAAGGCAATCAGTTTTCTCAGAAGTCAAAGGGATGAAGAAGCTGTGGCAGTGCCAGAACTTTACAAGAGACTTTGAGGTCATCTTTTATTTCTGGCTTCCCAGAGAAAATGGCAAAGTGTAGGTACTTCATCCCTTCCCGCTGCCAAGAGTCTTTCAGCCACATTTTGACCCATTGGCTACCTCCCTTGCACAAGGGAAAGTCATATAGCAGGACTAGAAACATCCAGACAATGAATGTCTGGCGAGAATATGTGTTGCAGGATCATTTTGGAACAACAACATCAATATTTTTTTTCTTCCTCGGCAAGGCTAAACGTTGCTTCACTTGATAACATCAATGTAACAAAACTCCCAGGAGTTTTAAAACAAACTCCCATCCAGCTTTAAACAAACCCAACATTTAAATTTAGCTCATTATTATTAATAATTTGAAGCAATACCTTTGGATTTTAGTGCCCAAACAGTCCTGAAGAAGTCTCTTCCTGACCTTCCTTCCTGGTCTCCCTACAAAATTACTAAATGGTTGCTAGTCGATCAGATGGAACGTCTCCCGTGTCAGCTGTGCATCCAACAGCAAATGTGAGGAATTGAAATGAAAGAGTGGTAGAAGCGCTTTCACTTCCTCATTAGGCAGTCAAAGGTTAAAGGGTGGGGTTACCCAAACAAGCTCAAGCAGAAATTAAGCAAGATGAAGTCACTCTTAGTTTTCTACTACATAGAAAAACCTCTGGAAAAAATATGGGTGAGGGACATCTAAGCAATGTCTTGAAACAGTGACCAGGAGCACCTTGGGGGACATCTTGGGTGACCCTCTTTCTCTGAACCCAGCCTCCCTTGTTTTGGAGGCAAAGGAATTTCCTTGTGAGATACAGACACAGACATCTAGACCAGGACAATATAAATCAAACAAACAAACAACTGAATAAAACACATTCCAGCAAAGTAGAACATATGTTTGTTCCTCTCATAACTCCAAAGTCTCAGTATTTTCTAGGGACATAACTATCCATGGTCTCTTCCCCTTTCAGTGCAGTTGCTCCTTGGTTGAACACCTGAAATCTATACCTTCAATTGACATTGTTGGAAGATAATTAATGGTAGTCCAATCTCTTCTTAAAAACCTCCAGTGATGGAGCACCCACGACTTCTGGAGGCAAGGAGTTCCACTGATTAATTGTTCTGTCAGGAAATTTCTCCTTAGTTCTAGATTGCTTCTCTCTTCTCATCCGTTGCTTCTTGTCCTGCTCTCAGGTGCTTTGGAGAATAGCTTCACACACACACACACACACACACACACACACACACACACACACACACACACACACACACCTTCATGGCAATCCCTGAGATATTGGAAGACGGCTGTCATGTCACCCCTGGTCCTTCTCTTCATTAAACTAGATATTCCACTCCTTGACTGACCTAGAACCCATTACCTCTATCTACCCGTTAGTTCTCTATCCCCACTTCCAGCGTCAACCATCAAAAGAAGAGTTGAGTCTTTTTTACAACACGAATCTAGAAGATCCTCTCTGTGGGAGGGGGAAAGGTTGGGTTGAAAGACAGGCGAGACTGAGTAAAATAAGCTACATCTGAAGGAGGCGTTGAGTTCTATCTACACAGTAAGGAAGAAAGAGCTGCATTTTTCAGGATCAGCACCATTTTCTTCAAACTGGCAGCTGCAATGGGAAGCCACTGTGGTCAGAAGTAAGCAAGCTCTTTCTCAATGAAGAGAGATCCAGGTTTTCCTCTTTTAGGATTTGCAGCCCACTCTCTCTCTCCGTACTCCGTTTTCAGGATAACTTAGGATTTGGTTCTTAATTGGTTCTCTGCCTTGACTATGACAGACAGGCACAGGTTTCTGAAATTAATCTGCCAAAAAAAAAAGAAAGAGAGATCCATAAACGGTTTAAGTTCCATTTCAGGGGGGAAATCACCCCGTTGAGTTCCTGCTATTATAGCCAAAGCCCCTGTAAGTGCAGACTTTAGTCAATAAGCAGCCAATAAGCCAAAATCTTTTGACTTCTGTTTCTAAAAATGTGCTGGTTCACTGGTGCAGCCCTGACATCTAGTGGACAGAAAATAACCCTCCGCTATGAAATTTACACAAACTACCATTTTACATAAACTAGCTTGATCTAATCTGAGTGCAATTCTGTGACTTGTCCCCGTTGGCTTTGCCCTACTATTTTGCATAAATTGGGGCCCAAAATTATAATGCAGCGGGTGGAGACCTTTCTTCTCCACCTGAAGCCCACCTAACCAATCCCATTGACCAATCACACTCTCATCGTTACACTTCCTGGAATGTTAGTTTCTAACTCCCTGATTTTATCTGAGATGCCTATCAAGACACAGCCCTTTGCCTAGCCTACAATGGTGGAGCCCTTAAAGCAGGGGTCTTCAAACTTGGTCTTTTTATGAGTTGTGGACTTCAACTCCCAGAATTCCTCAGCCAGGCATGCTGGCTCAGGAATTCTGGGAGTTGAAGTCCACAAGTCATAAAAGGGCCAAGTTTGAAGAGCCGTGACCTAGGGCTACCGTACCTGGACTACAAAATCTGGAGCTACCACTTGAGGACAGCAAAGAGGTTCAGAATACGCTCCTGGCTGCCATCTGGAGGCCATAAAGGATGTTTGCATTCCAGAGTGTTTTGGAGTGGGGTGGCTATAATAAATCTAATAAATATGATAGCTCTAGTGCAAAAGTTGGACCATAAAAGTTGGACCATAAGAAAGGCTGAGTGACAAAGAATTGAGGCCTTTGAACTCTGGTGCTGGAGAAGACTCCTGCAAGTCCCCTGGACTGCAAGGCGATCCAACCGGTCAGTCCTGGAGGAGATCAACCCCGACTGCTCTTTAGAAGGCCAGATCCTGAAGTTGAAACTCAAGGACTTTGGCCACCTAATGAGAAGGAAGGACTCCCTGGAGAAGGGCCTGATGCTGGGAAAGATGGAGGGCAAGAGAAGAAGGGGACGACAGAGAATGAGGGGGCTGGATGGAGTCACTGAAGCAGGAGGCGTGAGCTTCAATGGACTCCAGAAGATGGTAGAGGACAGGAAGGCCTGGAGGAACGTTGTTCATGGGGTCGCAATGGGTCAGACACAACTTCGCAACTAACAACAACAGTACAAAAGTGTGGGAGGTAGCAAGTGATGGTCAGATAAGTCAAGGTGGCAGCTGTGCAAACAACGATTGGCCCCTTCATTGCTGATCAGCAGTTTCTCTAAACAGTTTCCCAGCTTTGGTAAGTTTTTAATTCCTAGGGAATTCTAGGAGTTGAAGTCCACACATCTTAAACTTGCTGAGGATGACAAACACTGTCCTAGAATGACATTTCTAAACTGTTCTTTCCCCCAGATCTAAGTAGGAACGTAGGCCTGTTACAGGGAACCAGACGATGGAATTGTTCAAATCACTAGTGTGATTTATGACGGAGACCCTTGCTCTAAGGCAGTGTTTCTGAACCTTGACCATTTTAAGGCATGTGGACTTCAACTCCCAGAATTCCACAGCCAGCAATGCTGGCTGTGGAATTCTGGGAGTTGAAGTCCACATGCCTTAAAATGGTCAAGGTTCAGAAACACTGTTCTAAGGAAACCTACTGTAACAACGGGCTTCTTAGCAGCTTCCTTGAGTTCCAAGTCAATTTCACAGTCAGTGCTGTAGTTTTAGGTTATCTATGATATTTAATTGATTTCTGTAAATGTTTATGGAGGAAGGCTGAATTTCAGCCTGGTCTGTCTGATTCTGGGAAACAAAGTTTTCTTCACCAACATCCTGTTTTGGGGGAAGTTTGGCCAGCCAGCCCTGCACGGGACAGCTGCAGTTTAAAGACTCTGCCATTTGGATTTGATATGGATTTTTTACATTAATCACCAGGGAGATGAGATGCCCACAAATAGCTGGCACGAGGCAGATGGGGGTGGCAGCAGGAAGGTTTGGGGGGAGGCTGAGTACAGCTGCTGTGAATGTCATTTCACACCTCTGTCCTGTGGGTTGGTGACGAGAAAGGAAAGAGGAACACCAGGGGGGCTGTGCCCTTTGGGACGAAACATTTAGCAGCCCCCAATTCTCTTCCCTCCAGGTTTGAAGCTTGCGGAAGTGTCCGCATCAATCATGATGTTATCAATCCAAATTTTATTCTTCCAGCAGGTGGCAGAACTTAGTTGAAACCGACCTTAGCAGATCTCGGAAAAGCTAAGCCAAGTTGGACTTGGTTAACACCTGGATGGAATTCCACCAGGGTCGGAGGATAGACGGTTGAAGAAATCGCTCATGAGGTTGCCTTTTTCGTGGGAGGGTCATGAAATTGTGGGGTTGTGTCTGCAGTGTAACAAGGAGTTGAGCTTGACTCAAGGGAAATGTGGCCTTTATTACGTTTTTAAGAGAGTCCAGGATTTATCCAGGTGGGACTTTGAGGAAGCTCTACCAGGACTCTTAGAACAAATGCCCACTACGACTACAGGTGGGTTTGGTGTGTAATTGTCTTCCTCAGTTGCATCTTGAGGGAGGGGTGTGAGGATGGAGACAAACTGTAAATGTGGATGATGTGGATTTGAACTCATACTTTGGAATGACTTTTTTAGGGGAGGGGATAAGATTTCAGGGCTCCTCCATCCCATTAAAGCTAC